GGGCGAATGTAGATTAAGAGAGAAAATAAGATTCCTTGTCTTTTGTAAATTCGCGTATTATACCCTATGATGGTTTGCGGCTTTTCCCATTTTTTTACCATGATGGGAAAGATCGAGTAAATATTTTTAGGTTCTCTCACCTAGACAAATGGGTGAAAGCGTCTCACATCATAAATAGTAGTAAAAATAATGAGTTTACCTCGCTTATCACCTCTATCAAATGGGCCCTTGGTCTTCACATCTTTCATCGAAAGGCTTGGAGTTGATTGGTGAAAAAACAACAAGGGTTTATAATATTTACAGTTATTGTGTATTCATATCATTATAACAAGTATTGAAAACTACACAATATCAAAGCAAGAACATGAAATAAAAAATCCAGTAACGTTCAATCAATAGAGCACAAATATTTAACGTGATTCAGTCACAAATCGTGACTTACATTTATGGAAGAATAGTGCGAAGCTTTATTTACTAATATGACAATATTATAAGGGTAAATCGAGCTCAAAACATCAATTTTCAAAATAGAGCAAAAAAACAAACCACCAAAAACATTAAAAAATGAGTTCTATTTGATACATTATCTCACAAAAATAAAGCACACAACAAATCCACAATGAGCTCAAGCTTTTGTTAACTTTCTCTCTCTAAAACAAAACATACAACAACTTTCAAGAGAAAACTCAGCCCAATCCCTCTATCTTTTTCTCTCTAAACAAAAATGTTTTAATTCATTTAATTTTTAAAGTTCGCATAATACCACAATCATTGGATTAGATGCAATCCAATGATCCAAAATACAAGAGAGAAAAATCAAATAAAACACCCATATGTGTGATTTATTTTCACTCCTATAACAAAAAGTAGTGGAGTGATGGATATCAAGATATTTGAATAAAAAAGATTAGACTTACTATGAATGCATCGTTTTTGGCCATATCAATGAAATTGTATTGTATTTGCAAGTGTTGTTATATTTGTTTCGCTTCGAATTTCCTTTTATCATCGAAGCGAAGTGAACAACAAATATGTTTTCGCACGATATTTTGCCATTCCAAATGAAATTGCGACACCATTCAAAACTTGAGCATGGAGTGAGAGAGCACGGAGCCCCAAATCCAATTAAGAGGAGCGCGTTACACACGTGGCCACATCTTTCCTCAATTCATCATCCTCTTTAACAAGTACCACCTTTCTCATCTCGCCTTTATAAAATTTTACTACTGTCCTTTACTTTTATTAAAATAAAATTAAGTTGATTACCAAGCCACCTCGAAATGAAGGTTATGTCCTCACGCGATGAAATAAATTAAATGACTTTTTTTTTTAGTTTTATATATTTATATTTTTATGTTTTGTTGTTAAATAAATTGAATATCTTTTTTTTTAGTTATTGATTTTTTTAATATATAAATATATATTTTAATTATATTAACTTTTTTTTTTAAATTATCTGACGCCTTATTCGAATTAGTTGAAATACTAAATTGTTTCATTTTTCTAACCAAACCAAAAAAACTAAGTAGCGAATTTATCAACATTGATATTTACGCCTAGATCAGTGGTGTCCTTGCACAATTTAAGCAGTAGAGGCCCTCGCTACTAGCCATGTCTTGGTCTTGTTGATAAAAAGAAGACTGCGTATCAACAAGAAGACTGTTTTATGGCTATTACCAAAATGATGGATATTGTTCCCCTCATAGCTATGGAAGAGTGCTAATATTATTGATTGTTTATAGAAGCAACGCTTATGTCCAAACAAGCCTTTATGTCCTAACTATAAGAAATTTTGGCCACTTCCTCTGAATTTCAGAGTACGAGATAAAAAATCAAAAGATAGTTGTTACTCCCTTTAACTAAGGTTATGGGTATCAAAACGTAGAAGGTGATGACTCTTGTTTTTTTTTTGGATTGATTATGTAACTAAAATAAATTTTTTTTAACTAAGATAATTGTTAACTACCTTTAACCAATTAAACTTTGTTTTTTTTGGGATTGATTATTTAGATGAAGAGACTTCTTGTTTTAAAAAATAGGCCTAACTTTTACAAGTTTTATCAAGTCGACAAAAGCTCAAAATTTGAAAAAAATCTAATTAGTCGTTGTCGTTGAGAACTTTACGCCTATCTAATTGGTTTATGATGGTGAAAAGTATAGACCTATTAAATTTAGGTGAAATCCAACTTATAAAAAAATAAAAAAAAGATTAAAATGCATTTTGTGTTATCTAAAAATGACCTAATTGTAAAAAAGATCTCGACCTAATTGTAAAAACCAAAAGAAAAGTTGTCATAAATTTCTCCTCTCCAAACCGTCCTCTCAAGGACGGCGATGAATGCCTATGACCATAGCTTTTATTGTGGTCACATGGATTATGTTTTGAACTGTTCCATTTCTTTTGCTCGCTACATTGACTGGAGGATACACATGAACAGAAAAAGGACACAAAAAGGGCCTCTTTTCTCTGAAGAAATAAAACGGAGGTCTTCTCTCTCTCTACAGGTCTCTCTCTCTAAAACAACGGAACGAAGGTGCTCTCTCGCTGCAAATCACAAGGTCTTACTCTCTTTCTCTCTCTAAAAAAAAGAAACAACTCCGAGTTAAAGGAAGAGACACAGCGAAGAAGTCTGGAGAGAGAATAAAAGAAATCAGGTACCTCTTCTTTTGAGATTCTACACTCGGAGCATCTCTCTCTCTCTCTCTCTCTATGAATCGAACTTTTTGTTTTCGGAATTTGGAAGTTCTGTAATGTCTTTGTTTTTCAGTGGGTGGTATTTCCTGGCTTTTCCAAGTGGTTAATCTGTAGTGATCCAATCAGTTTTCGTGGGGGTTTTTCCCGAGATTGCAGATTAATCCATGATTAATGAGAGTTCTTTTGCTACTTTTTCTTTCTTTCATGTGGTTTAACGACCATACAATCTTTTTTTTTTGCTTAGTTTAAAGTTTTTGTAGTTTTTCTTGTGAATTTACTTGTGGTCTCTCGTGCTGTCTCGCTCTGTGTAATGATAATTTCTTGTTCTTGTTGAGATTAATGTGTACTTCGTTTAATGAGAGAATCAATGCGTGTTTAAAATGTTTCAATGTGAAATAAGACTCCATATCACTTTTTATTTTATTCCCATCTTTATTTTTTCCCGTTCATTTTGGGTGATTATTTGTTCGTTTCTTTATTTTTTTTGTTGGTATTGCCTCTCTTTTTGATATAATTTGTGTTGGATGAACTGTGGAAAAAGAAAAAAAGAAAACAGAAAAGAAAAGACACAGAACTATTGAGTGTGATAATTTCGCAGGCAAAATGGGCACCAGTAGAAAACATTCATTCATCTTCTATTGAAGGTAAATAGAAGAACATTATGGAATTAGTGCTATTCTTCTTTAAAGAAAGAGTGGTTATTTGTGACAACTTGTTTAATAAATGGAACACTGATATGCCATGTTAGATCTTACTAGAGACTAGAACCCTCTTATCCTATTAAGTTGGGCTTGGGTTTTGTTCAGTTCATGATGTTTCAAGCCACAATAGCCAAGCGTGTGTTCCAACTGAAGAAAAGAGATGGGTGTGCTTTCTGTTTGCTCCTTCCCATCTTTCTCATATTCTAAACCAATTATATCTGTTTACAAATTCTTTTTGACTTTTTCATTTTTCTGTATTAAGTTTAGCAATAGGTCTCAAGTAAAAGAAAAGATTGGATTCTTCAATGAAACAAAGGGACTTTATCATCGAAATGAAGGCTTTCCAGTGAAAGCTTTGTCCAGAATTCCTCTTCTCTGCTTATGTCTGTCTTCTGATTGGCATTCCCCAGTACATGCAATGCAGATAATGTGAATTATGGTGCTTGGATACAATTTTGAACACCATCATTCTTTTGTGACATTACGTATTCTTTAGAATGTTGGACACTGATATAGCGCCCATTGTAAAGTATCCAGATATCATAAACTGTACCCAGACAAACTACATTGAATTAGTTGCCCTATGCTATCAAGTCTCTCAGGGGATACTTAAAGGAGAGATACTTTAAGATTATGGATTTGGAAATCCATAGGATTCTCAAGCTCAACACTGAACTTGCAGTGACCGGGTGGTCCAGCAAAGGCTTCAAACCTTCAGTATCTCTAATAATCCCTCCTGCTCCATAAGGCCAAGGAATCAGGCTGTATGCACAGTCAACATTGAGTTTGTGATCTGCTGGATGGGACTTTGAGTCTTATTCTTGTGTTTCCTGTTGATGGAACCTCTAGCTGATTATGAATAAAGCTGTATGCCTATACCACAAATTGTTTGACAACTAATGTTCCAAAGCATGATGGGCCCTTTAAGACAATGATATGTCCCCCAGCATGAGAAATGTCCTGAAGGTCTTATTCTTCTATCTCTCTAACCCCAAAAGATGGAAGGCTGACATGTCTCCAGAGCATGAGGCCATTCTTAATGAATAGGTTCAACGTCTCACAAGCATGTTCATGAGAAAAATGCCCTTTTACAATGCAATGCGATAATCAATTGTCAAAATGTCCCTTTGCACCCTGATGCATGAGACTAAAGTGAGAAATGTATTTTCCCTGTGTTTAATATTGTGCACCATTGGGACCTTCTTCATTTCAGCCATTCATCCAAAGGTCTTGACTCTAGCAGAAAAGGGGCCATTCTTTGAAAAACTTGCTCCCAGATCACAAACTAAACAATTCTGACTAAAGATACACATTGACTATCCAATTTTGATAATGACCTATCTACACCAATCATTTTAATGAACAACACACCAGTGATGCTAAGCAAGTATCCTAAATGAAAAGAACCTAACCAATCAGGATAGGTTCTCCATCATTAAGTATTATTAATTCCCTTTAGGACCTTAGCTACAAAACTGCTTGATTCCACTCCCCTGATGCTCAAAATACTCAGAGTCTAAAATCCAACAATAATATCCCTAACTGACCTGAAAAACATAAAATAAACACCCCCCTCCATGTCTGTCCACCCAAAACCAGGCTATATTCCTATTCCTAACTATAACTGTGATTTTCTATTGGATATTGACCTAATTCCACTAATAGCCTGCCAAATCCTTGTGTTCTAATTAATTTACCCACTTTGCTCATCCCTTGGCATAAAAAAGATACCAATACTTGTCGTGAATTTCCTAATTGCAGAGACGGCATGGTTCTGATGCGTCCCACGCCACCAATGCCACTTTCCTAAAAGAGGTAACATTCCTTTATCTCTGAATAGTGAATATGAAGCCCCCTTGATTCTCTGATCTGGCTTTTCATTTTTATGAATACAACTGTTAACTCTTTGAACCAATGTTCAGTATTTCGATTTATTTGGATATTGTCGGTGTGCCCTGACAAGGATCCTATCCATCCCTACATTTGTTATGGATCTTGTAAGGGTACTCAAGTCTATTTTACTCAAGATGAGATACCCTGAGAAAGAAACCCTTTACTTGTCAAAAAATGTCTTTTGATTTGCTTGTTTCTTTTTGTTTTTTTTGATAATGTTAACATTGTATTACTGAACAAGAAGGAATCCAAAAGATTTGAGGAGAGAGAGAGCCGAGATTACCCTCGAGAAGGGTATCTCAGACCAAAAATTAAGCCAACACCCCTATACAAACTATATACTTCTGTAGGGACTGCATGCAAAAGATTGAGAAATCCAAAAAATAGGGCTTATAGGCACGCCCTTTTACAAGAAGATTAGGGTCCTAGAGAGCCTCGATGATTCACTGCAAAAAAGGAGGTGGACCATTCATTGTCTTCCATATGTGATCGTCGCCAAGCACCATCTTTAGCTAGGAGGTTGGCGAACGCGTTCGACGTCCGCCATATATGCCTCCATAAGACGTTGGTATCCTTGCATAGGTGGTAAATCTCATCAAAAATCCTAGAGAGGTACCAAGGAGGATTAGTTATGCCTGCTGCCCATCTCCTTTCACCACTAAGGATTGACCCCAAGCTGGGTAAAAAAATTTTAGGTCCGTGAGAAGAGCCAATGCTTCAGCTAGTTGTGAATCTCCAAGCCGACATATTCAGAATATGTCAAGAGAACAGTGCAGTTGTCATCTCTGAAGAACCCCCTTACTCCTGAATGCCCTGGATTCCCCAATGAACAGCCATCAAAATTTAACTTTATGGCATTTTCTGGAGGGGGCAACCAGTTGTGGGGTCTCTGTCGCTTGAAAGGCTGGAGTCAAATAATATTGTTCCATTGCCTGAGGAAAGAACTCGTAGGGATCCCAGAAAACGTACTATGAGTGGAGGCCCAAAAGGCTACAAAAGATGTAACCTTGTGAAACATCCCTGAAACTTCATTTTTATGTCCTTGAAAGATCCTCTAATTTCTTTCAATCCATAAAACCGAAACTGTAGCAGCAATTAGCTGCCCTCCACAAGGTTAGTCCAGCTTTGGGCCAAGGACCAACTGAGTAATGAAGAAATAGAGCTTTGACCGAAGGTGGTAAAACCCAATTAAAGTTGAAAAGCTTTAGGATCAGAGTCCAAAGCTCAAAAGCCATGTTGCAATGAAGAAAGAGGTGGGGATTAGACTCCTCCTCTTGTAAGCACATCACACATCTGTTTGGAAGTGGCAACCCTCTTTTTTGAAGCTGATCGAGTGTGAGAGCCTGTTGACAGCCAGCTATCCAGTTAAAGGACTGAACTTTTGAAGGAGCTATCGTGTTCCGAACTTTGTGAAGAGAGGAGGTGGGGTTAAGAGGGAAGGTAGGTGGCTGGATAAGTTTCTTATAGAACTACCGAAAACGTACCGGAAGGGGTTGGAGTCTAAACCAAATAATCATTCCCTGATGAAGGTAAGAAAACAGGGTAGAGAGCAGCCAAAAGAGTGGTGAAGGCTAAAGTTTCCTCATCAGAGAGATTTCTCCGAAAGTTAGGGTTCCAAGTTCTTCGCCCCCCTGCGCAGACCATTTCATCCTCAATTGTGGACTCTTTGTTGGAGGCAATTAGATGAAGATTAGGAAACAAGTCCCTAAGGGGAGCATGTCCTATCCACAAATCCAACTAGAAGCGAACTCTGTTGCCTTGTTTTGGATGGAATCGAAGCACTTTCTTGAACTGAGCGAAGGAGGATGCTAAGGATCTCCATGCTCTAGAAGCCCTACTTTGTGCAATCCTTTCGGGCACCCACATGTGATCCGAAATGTTATATTTATTCCGAATGACCTTTGCCCAGAAAGAGTTTGGTTGAGTGGCCAATCTCCACCACCACTTCCCCAACAAGGCCAAGTTGTACTTTCCTAGGTCTTTGATACTTAAACCACCTTGGAGTCTGGGCAGACGGACCCTATCCCAAGATATTAGGTGATGTCGCTTTTTTTCTTCTTGGCCCAGACCATAGAAAGTTCCTCATGAGTTGGTCCAACCTTTTAGCCATCGAAGCTGGCATATGGAAAATGGACATTAGGTAAATGGGGGAGTTAGCCAAAGTAGCCTTAACCAAAGTAGACCGACCTACCAGGGATAAAAATCTTCCTTTCCAGCCAGCAAGATGCCTGTCAACTCGATCAATAACTTGGGTCCAGTGTCTCTTTTTGGGTTTCCCCCGGCCTAGAGGTATACCCAAATAGGTGGTGGGGAGATCCTCAGCTATAATATCCCAAGATGGGATCAGGAATCTGATTTCTTAGAGTGTAATACCCACCCCCATCATCTTAGATTTTTCCGAGTTAACTTTGAAACCAGTAGCATTTTCAAAGCATTTGAGGAAAGGTCTAAGGTTCTCAATTTGTAGAGGATCCACATCCAGGAAGACTAAGGTATCATCTGCATATTGCAGATGTGATACCATAGGTCCTTAAGAGTTACAATGGAACGTCGAGAGCAGTCCTTCCCGGTAGAGACGAGAGATAGATCTGCTGAAGATTTCAGCTACTATTGTAAACATAAAGGGAGATAGTGGGTCCCCGTGACGGAGCCCTCTAGAAGCAGCGAAAAATCGTTTAGGACTTCCATTAGCAAGGACCAAAAAATGGGGCGTGGAGATACAACCTTTAATCCATTTTGTCCATCGAGGTCCAAAATTCATTCTAGCCATCGTCTCATCCAATAATGACCAGTCGACATGATCATATGCTTTCTCCCAGTCTATCTTGAAAATCAATCTTGGTTTCTTGGAGAGGTGCCTAGAGTGAATGCACTTATGGGCAACCAACACACCGTCCAGGATTAGCCTTTCTTTGATTAAGGCTGGTTGAGAGTGCGAGATGGCAAAAGGAAGGACCTGCTTAAAGCCTTGAAGCCAAGACTTTGGCAAGAATTTTGTAAGTTGAGTTAAGCAAACTAATTGGTAGGAAATCCTTAAGCTCTTCTGCACTCTCTTTCTTGGGGACAAGGGCTATAAAGGTAGCATTGATAGCTTTGTTTAAGATCCCCCTCTAATAGAATTTCTCAAAAAAACTCCTTAAATCAGGCAGGAAGGTACCCAGTAAAGATTTAAAGGGGGCCATAGGAAAACCATTCGGCCTGAAGCTTTGTCATAGGCTAATTCATTCTAGCCATCGTCTCATCCAACTGTAAAAGGTCGTTCTAGCTCTCTGGACCAATGATTAAGAACAGTAAGGAAGTCCAAGGTGGTCATTCTTGGCCTAAGGGCCACAGGGGCAGTATAGAGTAACCTGAAGTAGTTTAGAATGGCAGCTTCGATATCAAGGGGCTGAGTTAGAACACTGTTATTCACTTTTAATGTAGATATCAGATTCTCTCTCCTTCTACAATTGGCTATACGGTGAAAGAATGCTGTGTTTTGGTCCCTCGCTTTTAACCACTTGACCCGGGATCTTTGGTACCAAAAAAGCTCTTCTTTCTTGAGTGTGGAGAGGTAATCTAGCTTTGCTTGGGTTCTTAATTGAGCTTTAGAATCTGACAGGGGTCTTGCTTCTTCAAGATCAAAATCTTGGATAGAGTTAAGCAGGGAGCTTTTTATTTGAGTGTAATTTCTTGGCCGAGATTGACTCCAACTTTTCAAGGACTTCTTGAGCAGCTGGAGCTTGGACTGTAACTTGAAACCCTCTCTACCCGAGACTTGGGAGGAGAAAGAATTCCACCAACTAGGGATGAGGGTCAGAAGGGACTGCTCTTCCAACCAAGCCAATTCAAACCTAAATGGTTTTGGCCCCCTACAGATCATCTGTGTATCAAGGAGAATGGGACAGTGATCCGAGGTAGGTTTTGACAGGGTTAGAGCATGTGAGTCAGGAAACAAATCTTCCCAACCTAGGGACAGAAGGAATCTATCCAGTTTAGCCAGGGAGGGTTGAGCAGAGTGATTGGATCAGGTAAGGCATTCCCTTGGATTGGAATGTCTACTAGTTCTTGTCGGGATATGAAGTCAGAGAAGTCCAACATACCCTGAGAAATATTGGTATTGTGGTTTCTCTCATGAGACCATCTGGTGATATTGAAATCACCACCCAGGCACCAAGCAGAATGCGGTAAGGCAGCTGCACAGTCCAATTCTGACTAGAGGGGGGGGCGAAGGTAGACTGAGTGTGGACCATAAATGGTAGAGAACTTAAACAGTGCACCATCAGTAGTCCCAAAAAGAAGGACGGTGACTGAGAAGTCACCTAAGTGGGACGAGAGGAGGTTAAACTCAGTTGTGTTCAAAAGAACCCAAATGCCGCCAGACGCCCTTGTCGTTGGTATTGATTCCCATTGACACGACCTTCTGCCCCACACACTGCGAATGGATTGCAGGGTAGGGTCCAGCAGTTTCGTCTCTGTCAAGGCCAGAGGGAAAATCTATTAGCAAGGTCTCTCACCGAGTCCCTTTTGGACTTTTGTCCAAGCCCTCTAATATTCCACGAGAGAATCTTCATAAGGAATAGGAGGAAGCTAGGGAGGGGGCAATCCTTGTCGACCGCTTAAAAGTATGGGAGGATGGGATAGTGGTGGGAAGAGACTTGGTTACATTAGCAAGTTTGTCGTAATTAATGGAAGAGAAGAGGTTAAGTAATTCACGTTGTCCGTTGAGGTACACCTTAAACCTGCTTTGAGCGTCCGCTTGCAAGAACCGATGTGCCGGGCCTTCGGGTCCAAGACGTTCGAAACCCATTACCCTATAAATCTCCTGCATCCTGTTTGATTGTCGAGATCTATCTATCCCACATGTTCTATCTGTGTCACTTTCAATCGATTGGGAGGAAGAGGCTACATGGGGTAGAGACTGAGGAGGTACCACTGAGAGTCCAGTGGAGCAGGACAATTGGCCAGGGTAAACAAGGGGATAAAGGTCCGATGGCAAGGAACCTGGTCTACCTGGGTTAGAATCAGACAACGGTACCTTAGGAGACTCAGCGACTGGGAAGTCCAGAGAAGAACCAACAGAAGAAAGGGTCTCAGGGAAGGCTATAGGCTGATTTGGGGTCCAAAAAGTTGCGAGGGGAGGAGCCCAGCATAGGACAGAAAGGGGGGATGGGTTGATAGGCAAAGCAGGAGGAGTGGTATAGAAAGATAAGTAGTGAAAAGGGTAAGGTTGGGGACCACTGAAGACAGGTGGGTAAGGATAGTACTCATAGGGGAAGAGTACCGTAGTAATCTTGCCGAGAGGAATAAGAAGGGAAGGCTGAGGAAGGAAAGGCCCAAGAACCAAAGAGAGTTGAGACGGTTCAGGGGGGGATGGATGGAGGGAATGTACTGTGATAATGCCAAAGGGGAAAAGGGATGTGTCCACTTCCATAGACAGAAGAGAAGCAAACAGAGGAGAGTCACTCAGAGAAAGGAAGGGGAGGGGTAGGAAAGTCAGGAATAGGATAGATGAGGATTCAGGGTGAGGTCTGGCTTCTTAGTCTTTGGTATTGTCGCCCACCAGGAAATGCTGATTGGAGCTAAAGGAGAGGGGGCAGGAGGGGTCTGGCTGCTCCTGGGTCCTAGAAGACGGCGAGCTCAGAGGGATGGCAGGAACATCGGACAGAGAAATAGGCCCTTCAAGGGGAGGGAGGGTAGAGGGGGGGACGACGTTAGGTGACCCGTCAGGGGAAGGTTGCAGCAGGAGTTTAGGTGGTGAAGAGGGAGGTGGGGTAGATTTTAGGGCAGAGCACGAAGCGTCATTCGAGAGGACAAGGGCAAGTGCCGAAGGGACCGATGGCAGCAAAAAGCTGGCTACTGTCTCCTCTTTTGAGCAAAGGACACACGGTGGAAGAGGCTCCTTCCATGTGGTCAAAGTAGCAGTCTTCGTGGTACTAGCTGTACCAACGTTCGAAGCAATATCCAGCAAAAGAGAGGGGCCAGCTACTAAGGCCCAATCCAAATCCCCACCTGAGGATGATGGGTCCAAAAAAGAGCCCGATGACCCATGAGAGGGTTGGTGGACGACGACCTCCTTACCGGGTCGACGGGTCAAATGATTCGAGAGGCTCGAAAGTGGGTGACAACTATCACCAACCCCACCGCCTTTAGGGGCAGATGTCGTGAGATTGGGTCCCGAGCAAACACGCGACGCCGACTGACTGATGTCTCCAGTGGCAAGAGAGTGGGGGGACGATGTCTCCAGTGGCAAGAGAGGACGGCTATCCACGAGGTTAGTTAAGGGGGAGGGGAAGCCTCCGCCCAAGTCAGAGAAATCGGATAGAACAGGTTATAGATTTCTATCCACACGCAAGGTGGAATACAATTTGGATCCAAAACCTCCACCAAGAGCAGAAGGAGCCTAGCGATAGCATTTCCAGTGATTTCCATCGAACCGAAATCAAACTTCCGCAAGCTTCAGTTGTTCCCCCAAAAGTTGCAGGGGACCAAGCATGAAGAGGCACATGGTGAAGCGTCAGCCAAACTTTTTGCCTACTGAAAGAGCCTTTCTGGGGGGACCAAGCTCGGAGGCTCAAAGAAGCCCCTTTGAAGATAGTAGATTTGGACTCATGCAACACCTGGCGAGCATGAGCTTGTGAAGAGAAGGTGAAGAGGTAGTCTCCATTAGAGAGTCGTCTAGCCAAAATATTTGTGTCCTTCCAGAGTTCTTGAGCCCACTTCTCAATTCCTCTAAAGTCGTCCAGAGGAGGGCGAAACGTACCTACTAAGGAAGACTAGAACTTCGTCTTCTTAAGCAAAGAGGTCTCTTCAGAAGGAATAAACACAAAGAAAGGACAGAACGGAGGCTGGCTACATTGAAAGGAGGGGGGAGCCCCCTTAGGGCAAGCCAAAGAGCGTACAGGAGGTAGGGGAGCTGAAGAGCATGCGACAACTTGCGCAAAAGAACCAGGAGACCCAGAAACAGAACCGGGTGGCACACTTTGCTAATACTCTGGACAAATAGATTGCGTACCCTTAGGAGGTAGCTTATGAGAGGCAGAGAGCGGTTTAGGATAGAGGTTGTAACTACCTAACCAGGAAGGAGTGGCCGGGAGCCAAAGAGGGCGAACCAAGCGGTAGAAGGAGATAGAGGACCGGCAAAGGTCGGACGAGAAGGACGACGACGATAGGAAGGGAAAGAAGAAGAGGAAGGGAAAGAAGAAGAAGGTGGAGGTGGATGGAAACGAGGTGGAGGTGGACGGAAACGACGCCTCCTCCCCATGGATGGAAAAAAAAAAAACTTAATGTCTCACTTTTAAGAGAGTGAGTGAGTAGCTTCACTTGAAAATTTGAACTTTAGCCTAAATATTTCTCTTATTTTTTTCTCTGGTGGATTTAGGATGTGTCATATACCCTCACCCATATATATATATTGATTTAAATTTGTTTTCATGATAGTTTTTTGATATATTTTATGGTTCACTGCTATATTTCATTCTATTCAGTGTTGAAATTATACACTCGCTGGTCGACTTGATCGCTGCTTAAAGAGTCAAACAGTTAAACTCAGAAAAAAAGAACTTCGTGATTTTTCCCAAATTTGTGTGAAAAGTAGATAGTTGTAATGGGAAAACGAACCCAACTCATCACCTAAGTTGTACAACAATGCCACCTAACTGGAAGAGGCAATATACTTGTTAAACCAACATGGCGGATATTATATAACATAAAATGTGGGCACATCTCGAGTTCTTCATTTATAAAACTCACCCACTTGACAAGATTGGCGATTTTTTTATTCCTTTATTTGATTTGATTTTATTCATTGAAAGAATAATCAAACTTTTCAGAGAGAGAATTAAGATTGTGGTCATATGTGTTGATCTCCCCTTACCTGCCAGAAGTCCTTGGATGAACAGAATGTCAGCAAGCAATGCCCAGTCTCCAGGGCTGAAGACGTATTTCAAGACCCCAGAAGGCCGTTACAAGCTCCAATATGAGAAAACTCATCCCTCTGGTCTTCTTCACTACAGTCATGGCAAAGTTGTAACACAGGTATATGACGTCATTTATTTTTTCAAAATTTTAAACCATACAGATCCTGCATGTGGTATACTATATTCAGCCCTTCTGATCTCAAGATGGATCTCAAGATGGATGTCAGAGACAAGCTGTAGTTTCTGGTAATGAGTTTACCCTTGAACTGCGGTTTATTTCCATTTTCCAACTTGAGAATGGATGGTGTATGCCATGGCTGTGTAACACACTGTTCATGGGCTGTGTATAGTATTTGCATTCCTTTTTTATTTGGATTGCTGGGTTCTCCAGGTTTCATTTCCATTTGGGGCGGGCTTCATGGACGAAGAACAGTTTCTTCGGCATTTAAATCATTATACCTGGAAGCCAGAACACCTGTCGCTCTTCTTTACCTCTTCTCTTTTACTTTCTTCTAGCTGGTGGTGATATGTTTAGTTTTTATAATGTTTTATTAATGGAAGAAGTACATTACAATCCAATGGAATAAGAAGAAACTTTTAGTCCATTATTTCAAACCATCCATTGAAGTTGTTGATGGTGATGGAGGGAGAGGGTCCCATTAAATGACTACAATGGTAGGCCGTACTCTCTCCCCATCATTGTCCATCAATTTAATTGAGAGTGATTACCCAATTATAATTTTGCTTTCGTGGACTCTTTTTCATGCGATACATCCTTTTAATGCTGTCTTACAATTTTGATCTAGGTGACGTTTGCCCAACTCAAGGATAAACCTGTCCCTCAGCCCACTCCAGCTTCCTCAACCTTGAGCAGCACAAGTGGAGTGAGGCTAGCAGCTGCAAGGCTTCTAGGTGGTGGAAATGGCAGTCGGGCTTTGAGCTTTGTTGGAGGGAATGGTACAAGCAAAACTGTCAGCGGGAATAGTAGAATTGGTTCATTGGTAGGCCATGGAGTTTCTGGTTCAACTAACGGTCCCATTTCTTCAAATTACGATGGCAAAGGGACATATCTTATTTTTAATGTTGGGGATACACTCTTTGTCAGTGATTTCAATTCACAAGATAAGGTATATGGATCTCTCTTGATGATGGGGTTACAAATTTTCCGTTACGAGAGGAAGACCTATAGGTAATTGGTCTTCTCTGCAGTTTGAAATTTTAACTGTACTGTGCCTTTGGTATTTTGTTTTTGCCAGGATCCCATCAAAGCCATTCATTTTAGTAATTCTAATCCAGTATGCCATGCATTTGATCCTGAAGCCAAGGATGGTCATGATCTAGTGATTGGTTTGAGTTCAGGAGATGGTAATCTGGATGTTTGTTCATTGAACATTGTGGTTTGGCTGAAATTTCTTGAAAACCTTGGTCTCTTGCTGAAATGTTGGTCTTCTCCTTGTTTCTTTCAGTATATTCAGTATCATTGAGACAACAATTACAAGATCTTGGGAAGAAGCTTGTTGGGGCCCAACATTACAACAAAGATGGGACACTAAATAACAGGTATGCAGCATGCACAAACTCCATAATTGTTAGTTTTCATCAACTTTGTCATTATCATTAATCTGTTCTTGTCTTTCTTTTTCCTGTAGCATTGGATATCTTGTGATACATTAGTAAAAGAAAACCAACATCCAGTATCCCTTTTCTTTTTCTTTGATAACTGGGCTTTCGGCAATCTTCAATCCTGAAGTCATGCCCCACTATCTGAATTATAAACATGTCAAGCATTCTTGTGCTTCAAGGCTGGCCACGTATGTTAGCTGTCAAATTTGTTGATGAATTGTAGTTTTGCATATGATTTAACATCTCAAAGCAAATGGTAAAATATATTGCAAGAGCAGATCACTTTGGAGATGATTCATACCTTTCGTGTTATTTGTATATTGCATTTGTATTTGTTATTGTTAGAATGGCTGGTTTGTCTGATATCGGATTACCTGGGATTTCTCTCTCATCTGTTATGCATTTTGCTTTTAGGTAATGTTTTCCTCCCTTTGTCCTTGCACTTTGTGAAAGGGAAAAGCATACTATATTCCAAGTGGCAATTGGAAACCATAGTCCATTGGATCATCACTGTAAAAATGAAGTCATAACCAATAATGTAGAGCAAATGAACCTACCATTGGTAGGTCATGTCCTATTCTGGGGTTTCCTCTCTCTCTCTTTCTCTATCTCTCTCTCCATCCCCCCCACCCCTGTGCATTAAATGGATGATGATGACCCAGTTGTACTTTAGTTCTTCCATGGTTCATTGGATTGTAGTGTTAAATATATATATATTTTTTCCTTCATCAGGCTATTGGGTTTATGGTGTACTTCCCCATTTGTATAGTCCTTAATCCTGCTTCTGAGTGATCTTTTTCTACTCTAAATATGCTAGCTCATTGTGCTCACAGCCGATGCACTAGCATTGCGTGGGTGCCAGAAGGGGATGGTCTTTTCGTGGTTGCTCACGCTGATGGAAACTTATACATTTATGAAAAAGTAAGCCAGTAATTGATTCAGTTGTGTTGTTGTCAACAATTTGTGAATTTTCATTGAATTGAATCAGTTCAGTTTGCATATTTTTCTGTGTCAGAACAAAGATGGCACTGGTGATTCGTCATTTCCTGTTATCAAGGATCCAACTCAGTATTCTGTTGCGCATGCTCGGTCCAGTAAGGTAAATTCATTGTACACTTATTTTATCTTTTTGAGTACTTGATGATTGGGTTTCTATCCTTGATGGATATGGAGTTCATATTAATCATTTCATTGTTTCTTTTTGCATGCCCTATGTCAGAAAAAATTCTGAGTGAAAGTCTAGCTACACTTTTGGCTGCTTGCTAATTGCTTTTCTTTTATGTAAAGATAAACAATTATGGTAACTAATTGGTTACCTTTTCTTCAATGGACAAATCTGTAACTAAATATCGATTCGTTTCATTAGTCAATAATATGCCTAGCCCTGGAAATAGATTGAGATAAAGATGTGATTGGCTCCTCTAGCATGTATAATTTGATGGGACTCTTGCAAATTACATAGTGGCATTGTGTGGTGCTCACAAGCCTCATTCATCCTGGACAGGATGAGATCCAACTACATAAATTATTTTGGAATATATATGATGCACATCTTTGTACAACATGGGTGGTGCTTCAAGTTCTCCTCAACAGCTTGCGTGATAAATCCATCATTTTCCTCTTCCCTTAGACAACTTGTGAGAAGTTCTATAGAGAAATACTCGCACTCTTCCTTGTACTTGCATGAAAAGGCTTTGCCTTCCAGTTTTATTCATTTGATTTTCAATAAAATGGTAATGTTCTAAAAGATGTTGCATACTGGGAGCAGCAGATTCCTCATGAGAAGCGGTGTGTGTAGTATTAGTTGGATCGTATTTGTAACAGACAACTTTGAGGAGCATTATGCTATTGAATCTGACTCTCTTAATGTTATCATATATGGCCAAATGGGGCCATAATCTTTCTTTTTTTTTCCTTCCCCGGGTAAGGTGCTTTGGATCTTATTTTCCTTTTAATAATCTTTTAACAATTTAAAACTTTAGTTTTCCTTTGATCGTAAAGCTGGTCTTCCATCTTCACTCTGCTGTTGTTGGCAATTTATCACATAGGTATCACCTTTAACAAACATCAACGTTGCTGTTGAGTGCCCAAGCAGAGTGTTTAACCTCTTCATCATACTTGTTAGGAGAAAATATAGTATCTTTGGGTGAGAAATTGAGGATTTGGCTGGTTTCTGGAGGAGCATTATTTGGGGTGAGTACAGGTTGAAAGGATGTTGGTAGGTTCTCTATGATCCTGGTGGCATTAGTATGGATGGTTTAACATTTAATGGGAGAAAATTGAGGTTTTTTTGTTTTGTTTTAATATATACTTGGTGTGTGATCTTGGTGTTCAGGGTTTTCTTCTGAAGTCTAGTTGGGTTAGTGTTTTTGTTTTTCGTGATTAGTCTAGTGGATCTAGTGCCCTTTTTTTTTATATATATATATATAATGTTAATCTTTGATTGAGAAGAGAGGAAAGTACAAAAAGCCTTGGCGATCCACAAAGGAAGATGCTCAAGGAGAAACAGACAAGAAAAAGCGGAATCAAATTCCTCTTTTAGGAGGTTAAATGAGACAAAACCACCTAGGAAAACAGGCCAATCCACAAAACAAGAAAAAGAAAACAAGGAGCCAAAAAACTAGGGGAGTTTCTAGTTTCCAGCCATCGCCGCTGCTTCTTTCGCTAGAGTAACAGCTTCATGGTTTCCTTCCCTCCAGGTATGTGTTCGCACGACAAATGTATCCCTGCAAAGGTGGTCAATTGCGTCAAACGTGTGTGCCATGAACCAAGGAGGGGGGGAGGAAGAAAGTCTCTGAGCCCAAGAGATGGTATTCTTGGAATCTTCCTCTATAGCTAAAGAGTGCAGATTGAGAGGATCAATGAGCTTAAGGCCTTCCAAGAGTGCTATCGCCTCGGCCTCCATAGAGTTGGCGTGGCCAATGAGTTTGGAAACCATCGTCACTGTGATATCGAGGTGGTCTCTGAGGATGGCTCCTATACTTGACAAGCCAGGTTTACCAAGGGAACATCCATTGAAATTGAGCTTAAGCCGACCCAGTGGCAGGGGCCTCCAACTTGATGCCCTAGGTAGGCGTGTGCGATGGAACCAAAGGACATTGCACCAGTCCTGGCTGAAAGCTAAAGCAGGAACTCCTTTGAAATAGTGGTGGTTGGTCGCTCAAAATATGATTGTGGACTTGAGCTTGTTAAAAACTTTGGACCAAGGGGACTGAAATAGAGAAAGAGGATGTTGATGAGGAGGAGATGCCGTCGTCTCCCTCCCTTTCCACCTCGTCTTCCTCCTTTTCTTCCTCCTCATGCTTCCAGACGTCTTTCGCACCCGCCCCTCGCCCGTCCTTCCTCTTTTGCACCATCTACCTCCAGGCTTCTCTCTACTTGGCCCTTGACCTCCCCTTCTTTATGGCGTAAGATTTACGACCTCTACCTTAAACCTCTCTGTGTCTCACACAAGGCTTCTACTAAGGGAGCGCAGTCCTCTACCCGTGGCTCTCCACAAAGCGGGTTACGGACTAACATTTTTGGGTCCTTTGCGCAAGTAGTCGCACACTTCTCCCCCCCCCCTCCTCTGATGGCTCCCTGGTCCGCTCTAAGGAGTCCCCCCTTCCCCTCTGCAGCAAGCCTTTGCTCGACCCTTTCTTTGTCTCCATCCCACCTATCGAGTCTTCCCTGCTTAAGACTAAGTTCCAGTCATCTTTAGTAGGCACGTTTTACCCGTCTCAGGATGTTTTCAAAGGAGTTGAGATCTGGGCAAAATTTTTTTGGGAGGACTCCAATCTCACGGCTTGACACCTCTCCTGTGGAGACTACCTCTTCAGCTTTTCGTCACAAGCTCTCACCTGCCAGGTATTGAAGGACTCGAAATCTGTGATGTTCAAAGGGGCAACCCCGTGCCTTCGGGCTTGGTCCCCCTTGGAAGGTTCTTTCAGAAGGCAAAAGGTATGGCTGACGCTTCTTCATGTGCCACTACATACCTGCTCTCTTGCAACCTTTGGGAGAATAGTTGAATCTTTTGGTAATCTGATCTCGATTCGGTGGAAATCTTTGGAAGCACTTTCGCTAGGCTCCATCCTGCTCCTGTTGGAGGTCCTTGACCCTAAATGTATTCCACCATGTGTGTGGATTGAAGTAGATAACTTGTTCTACCCGATTTCGCTGGCTTGGATTGAGGCTTCCCCCCCCTCGGTTAATCTGGTAGCTAGCAGTCTGCACTCATTGTCGGAAAGTTCTTCTTCCTTTTCTTGGAGTGTCGCCTCCAGGAAATCTGGCTTAGCCAAGTGGTATCACCGCCAGAATCCACATGACCTTTTTCCTGGCAAGAGAGTTTACCGCCCAATTTTTCTGGTCAGTCAATGGTCCTCTGATCGCTGGTCTTCCATGCGGATACCGCGTGACACCCTACCATCGATATCTGGGGATGATGGGGACGACACTGTCAGGAAGTCTGTGTCGAACGCTTGTGTTGGGCTCACCTTCTTAGAAAAAAGCTCAGATATAACAGCTGTCACCTTCCTTCGGGTCCCCTGGCTTCTTCGACCCATCGACTCGATAAGGAAGTTGTAGAGGACTTACATTCTCTTGGGCCTTCAGTCTTTTTTAAGGACCCGCTTTCCTTAGTCAGGGCTGAGATTCGGACCTCGATCGCTGACTTGATCCACGAGGGGAGGAACTCATTGGATAAAGGTACACCAGCTGCCCTGACGTCTGTCCCTGCGGCCACGCGGTAGGCGCCCCTTACCCCATGTGTCCTAGGCTCTCTTGAGAAGACAACTAATAACGTTTCACCGCCTTCCATCGCTTCGGCTGCAGGCGGTATCTTCTCGTATGATACTTCGCTCTCTGCCCAAGGAACCCTTCTGTCTCTCCCTTTGCCACTTGGCCTCCCTATGCATCACCCCCCTGACGGTTCTCCTAACTCCGTCTTCACCTCAATCCTTCCCAACCTTGATGATTCACTCGGGTCTTCTAGTGAACCTTCCCTTTCTCAGTGCTCTTCGTCCACCAAGAGCCAGGAGCTGCTAGCTTCCTTCCAGTCCACTCCTCCTTGCAGGCCTTCTCTGGGCCTTTCTGAGGAAGCTTTTTCCATTGTTCAGAGTGTCGAATCTTCCTGCCCTTTTCACCTTGTGTCCCGCTCTATTCTCTCCTTGACCTTCCTACCCTTCCCTTCTTTTGCCATATTGACCCCTCTCTGTTTGCTTCATCTTTGCCTATGGAAGTGGAACCTTCTCTTATTCCCTTCGGCATCATCACGTTCGCTCCCTCCATCCTTCTCCCCTTGACCCTGCTCACCTGTCAGAGCTTCTTGGCCCTTGTCTTCCTCAACCCTCTTTCCTTATCCCTCTTGGCAGGATTACGACGATTCTCTTCCCTTACGAGTTCTCTCCTTCCTCGCCACTTAACCTTAGGCCCCAACCTTTTCCTTCTCACTTTTTATCTTTCTACACCCTCCCTCCTTCTCTGCCTTTTAACCCTTGCCCTTATCCCGTGTCCAACTGGGCTCCCCCCCCTGTCTTTATCTAGACCCTACCCAGCCTGCAGTGTCATCTTGGCACCCTCTTGGTTTTTCACCCTCTTCTGGTCCCTCCCTGGTTAACCCTACTTCAGTGTCTCCCGCGGTTTCGTTGCCTGTTCTTAGCCTTTGGGAACCTGAGCTCTTACCTTCTGTTCCTCTATCCCCTGTTCCCCTGGACAGTCCTCCTCCTCCTCCTCTGAACCTTCAGTGATGGCTCCTGAATCACTATCTATAGCACCCTCTTCTTCCTGCTCGTACAAAAAAGACCCAGAGAGAGCTAGTGGGACTGATAACATTCGAGAAGCTGACAAGATGAAGGAGATCTACAGGGTTATGGGTTTTGAACACCTTGGACCCGACGGCCCAGGCTCATCGGTTCTTGCAGGCAGACGCTCATAGCAGGCTCAAGGTGAATCTCACTGGACATCATGAATTGCTTAACCTCTTCTCTTCTATAAATTATGATAATCTCGCCCCTGTAGACCAGCCTCTTCCCACTGCTACCCAAACCTCCCCCACTCTTAGGCGGTCGCCTAGGACTGCCTCCACCCCTGCTTCTCCTCGTAACTTATGAAGTTTCTATCTTG